ACCAGAGTGTACCGCGTACCGGCGAACCTGTCAATGTGCTCCTACTTCAAGCCATCCACTGAGCCTACCTGGTGGGGCAGGCCGCGCACAACTCTGCCGGTCGTGCTCAAACACGATCTCGAGCTGGTTGGGAGGACCCTCAAGACCTCGGCAGATCTTGAGGAGCTGAGGAGCATCGCCCAGAATCGCGGGGCGTGGAGCTACCTCAGCGGCCGTATCCTGGAGAGACATGTTGCTGCTCACAGATGAACCCTGGTAATGATCAGCAAATTCAAGTTCAACTCGGTTGAGCTGCTCGTTCGCTTGTTTTAATTGTACATATTCTATTTTCGTCACGCGTTTTATATCGCATACGTTTTATATCGCCATCAATATCCTGTTTGGCTGTTGTCGCTTCGGCTTATTCGAAAGCTATACATGCTGTGTATATCTACATTGCATTGATGCCAACGCGGAGAAGCTTCTAATAATAATAATAATAATAATGTAAAAGAGAAAAGGACATATGGATACGAGTTTAGAGTAACTCTCCATCACTGTAACATGATACTATATACAGTCAGAAACTGACTGTATATAGTATCATGTTACAGTGATGGAGAGTTACTCTAAACTCGTATCCATATGTCCTTTTCTCTTTTACATTTATTTATGGCTCAACATCCGAGTTTCAAATAATAATAATAATAATAGTAATAATTTGAAAGCAGGACGGAGGCAGAAAATATTACAAAAAATGTATTATCTACGCATGCATCTACGCAAGATTCACCACCAGCCAATTAGGACATGTGTCAAAGTATTGAACGTTTTCGTTCCCTTCTTGTCAAAATACTACAGGGAATGATGGAAATAAGCTAACAGACTACAACTATAAGGAAAATAAGTTCAGAAACATATCACTCCAATTATGTGTAGAAGTGACACGAAAAAATAGATGTGAAGAATCAAGAAAACAGCATGCAAATCCAATAAGTGACAAAAACGTAGTGACAAGAAAAATGCACACATGTCCTATTTGGCTGGTGGTGAATCTTGCGTAGATGCATGCGTAGATAATACATTTTTTGTAATAATAATAATAATAATAATAATAATAATAATGATGTGCCACATCGCATCCACCGTGACGTGCCAGAATCATAAATATTAATGATAACTAGAAGAAGTACATGTATGATACCAACAACAATTATTTAAAGAAGACAATGTGGTGGTAAATTCGGGCAAAACCCGAAGTGCTTTCACAGAGACACCCACGCACACACACACATCCACATACACACACACTCACACACACACACTGTCACACACTGTCACACACACACACTGCTACTAAGTTAAAATTGATATTATTTTGTATTCTGGAAATTGTCGGCACAAGTTATGCGATCGAGTCCACCAACTAAACCAGATTTGAACAGTTGTCAGTTTTGTGCTAGATTGTGCACGTCTGACTGTTTTCAAAATCTGGTTTAGTTGGTGGACTCGATCTCATAACTTACTACATGTACATGTACTTGTGACAATTTCATAATATTACTAGCAGCACCCGGCCAGCGTTGCCTGGCCGAACGCGGCGCGTGCGGGTGAAGCAAGTACATGAACAGCACACGTGCTCAGCACGTGGTGGTGGCTACACGATTCGCACGCTTCGCGTGCTCTGTGCTTCTGTGGCTGCTTCCGCTAGCTACACGATTCGCACGCTTCGCGTGCTCAGTGCTTCTGCGGCCGCTAGCTACACTGTTCGCACGCTTCGCGTGCTCAGGGCAGCGCTGCTCCGCAGCGCTTCTGCGTAACACACAGACAACCACACAGACAAACACACGTCACAGGTGCCTCTTCTTTATACAATCACTAGCAGCACCCCCGCCAGCGTTGCCTGGCCGAATGTGGCATGCGGGTGAAGCAAGTACGTGAACAGCACACGTGCTCAGCACGTGGTGGTGGCCAGACCGCTGAAGTCCTGGTGAGGGAGGTTCTTCATCGTTGGAAGGAGAAGGAGGGACGTCTGTTACGCCTTCGGGAGGCTGGTCAGGGTTGTCCATCACCTGGTGGCGGATGAAGCGGCTCAAAAAATTCATAAACTAATTACTTACGAACAAAAGTGCGATGCGCTCTTCACTGCAGATCAGATGCAGAGTGCAGTCAGTGCAGATCTTTTGTATCCTTTTGCTGCAGATGTTTCTATTTGCAGAGAACGGTTCACGTGGTCCGCAGCGCTTGTGCGGCTGCTAGTAGTGCTACCTATGGTTTAGGCTAGGTGGCTACATGATTCGAACGCTTCGCGTGCTCAGTGCTTCTGCGCGCGGCTGCTACTGCTACTCCGAGTACTCGTACGGATCGTGTCTGCTACCACCTACACTGTTCGCACGCTTCGCATGCTCAGCACTTGGTGGTGGCTACACGATTCGCACGCTTCGCGTGCTCGGTGCTTCTGTGGCTGCTTCCGCTAGCTACACGATTCGCACGCTTCGTTCGCACGCCTCGCGTGCTCAGTGCTTCTGCGGCCGCTAGCTACACTGTGCATGTGCTACACTGTTCGCACGCTTCGTGTGCTCAGGGCAGCGCTGCTCCGCACGCGCAGCGCTTCAGCGTGACACAAACAAACACGTCACAGGTGCCTCTTCTTTATAAGGAGCGTGACACACACACACACACACAGACACACGTCACAGGTGCCTCTTTTTTTATAAGTAAAGATGTAAGTAAAGATTACAATTCGGCCGGTCACCATGGTCACGGGTACCAAACAGATAGAAACTAGGTCGGCTTGGATGCTTGAAGTAGACATGATTTTTAGTGATACATGTACTAGACAATCATAGAGTTGTGGCACTTGGCAGGACTTTTTATTGGTTGAATCAAGGCCGAGTGCATACGGCCAAGGGCGCAGGCCAAGGCGCGTAGCGCCGAGGCCTGCGCCCGCGGCCGTGCGCACGAGGCCTTGATGAAGGCGGAAAGTCCTGCCAGAACTCTAGGATCGTGTTTCAGGTTTCCACTCACATACTTTGAGCCGCGTAGATGGTATAATTATAATTATTATTATTATAAGCGCGATACCACATAGTCATAGGACTCCGAGTAGGGACCGGCGGATTCTGCTCGCAAAGGTGGCAGATTCTGCTCGAAAAGCAGTAAAATTGGCAGAACCATACAAACCTTATGGCGGGAAATTCCTCGAATTCTGCTCCATTTCTTTATCCACATACCAAACATGCATGAAACATACCAGAAAAAGTACCGAATTCTGCCAATTTTTCTGCCGGCAGAATCCGCTGGACCCTACATTGGACTAGGAGTGGAGTTCGGGGACGTGGTGGCTAGACCTGCTGGCTTTTTTCTTTGCTCAAGAAGAAGTACATGTCATGTACATGTAGGTTGGTGGGGGACGTGGTGACTACACTTTAAAATTATTTCTACTACATCTATTTTACTCTAGTTATGTAACATGTACATGTACATGACGTCACGCACTGGATGAGTTTTGTCACTCCTTTGCTGACACGCGTAGATCTATAGACTACACAGCTGATCTTATCACTTTTCGCCTACATGAAGGCGATATCACTTTCCGCCCACATCAAGGCCTCGTGCGTAGACTCTACGGCCGCAGGCCTCGGTGCTATGCGCCCGGCCTGCGCCCTTGGCCTTGGCCTTGATTCAGGCTCAGGTTTACACTGGCATCCTTTCTTACTCTTACTCTTACTTAGTCTTAGTCTTAGGCTTTGAGGCGCGTAGACGGTATAATTATCCGGTATTATTTCAAATAATAATAATTATAAGCACGGTCCTTTATTTTTTCAATGTACCTCTACCCCGTGCTGTTATTGGAGACGTTCCTTTATTGGAGACTGTTCCATTACTATTTCAACCTCATTTCAGAGGCATGTTGCCATGCCAAATTCATGTCAGACACACACATTTCAGGGGGTTTTCGCCGGTACCGCTGCTCATCCAGCCCTTGTCGCTATCTCGGCGCGGGCTGGATTCCGCGGTACTGCCCTCGTACTCGTGCAGGAACCTGTAGTCTGTACGCGTACGTGTACTCGTGTAGTATCCCATGCAGTACAGTAGTACTCAGTAGTACTCAGTACTGAACTGTCTGTAAGAGTACTGTAGCTGACTACCACCGGTACATATACATTGTACATGTATTTTTACTCTAGTTATGTCACATCTACATGTGCACGCATACGCACTGCATCCTCTGCATCACACGTGTCCCCTCCTTTGCTGACACGCCTACACCGCTGATCTAATCTTTTCTCCCCACTTACTAGACTTGGTACTTGAGAAGAAGTAACAGTGCACGTAACGTCGTTAGTTGTGTTTCCCTTGCGCTTGCTGGATTGCATGCTACAATCATGTACAGTAAAACCTGGTTTAAGCGACCACCTCACGGTGCAAGCAAAAGCGGTCGTTAAATCCAGGTGGTCTTTAGAACCAGGTCCCACAGTGTCTGTGTAGAACTGTCGTTGCATGGAAAAACGGTCGTTAAGAGCAGGTGGTCGCTAAACACAGAGGTCGCTTACACCAGGTGTTTACTGTGCTAGTAGTTATCTTTGCTAGTTTAGATCATCGTACACCACACTAGTACACGCGTTTGCTGTGCAGTGAAGCCGAGACCCTAGGTCGGTGGAGCACATCAGACCCCGTCACCACGTCCACGATTCACGCCTGCGAGTGCGATGCTGCACCGCTGCTTTGCATGTCATGATTGGAAGCTGTGGCCTTAGTACATTTTTCCCACGGATTGTACTGTATCCTACGTGATACGTCTGTACCTCACTATAACTGAGCCTGAGGTCATGCCTACAGCTAGCCATGCCATTTCTACATGTAGATCCTGTCTCATCCATGTCCTCTACTCTCTTCCAAAGATTCATTTGCTTCTTTCATCTTTATACATCATGTCTAGACACGGTTGATACCTTCCCACGTTCTTCTTCTTCTTCTGATTGGACGGACACAACAGACTTCTGCCCTTTTTCATGACTCATGATGATATTCTTCCTTTTCGCCCTATAAAAGCTGCTACTGATTTCTACACAACTGCAAAAACAACACTCAACAGTGCCGAGCAGAAGAGTTTTCCCAATCCGTAGGAACGCCACCAGCCTTCAAGGATCGAGGCGCAGATGCAGCTCTTGGGAGGTGAGTAGATCAGCTCACCAGCATCCCTGATAGTCTGAGAGAGAGAGAGAGAGAGAGAGAGAGAGAGAGATAGAGAGAGAAAGAGAGCAGCAGCAGCAGCAGCAGAGAGCAGGAATGCGGCTAGGGAGGGAGGGAGATCAAGTGAGAGAGAGAGAGAGAGAGGGAGGGAGAGGGAGAGAGAGAGATATAGATGCGTGGAGAGATATAATATTATAGATGCGTGGAGAGATATATGGATGCATGGAAAGATATGATGCATGGAGAGATATAGATGCATGGAGATATGCATGGAGATTTAAACATTCTATACACAAAGGATTTAAAGCTACGTTTGTGCTTGTTGTCTTTATGTCTCCTGTATCAACTGCTTCTCTTATCATGTCCAGTATAAGCGAACGTGTGGACTGTGTTTGTGCATGGGTGACTTGCACTGTTGACTGTCTGGCGATTTTTTCTCTTTTCAGGCAGTTCACTTCCCCAATTGATCCTTTGTATTTGAAGTTCTTCCAATCCGTTCAAGAATAATAATAATATTAACTGGTTTGAGGGAAAGAGACAAACGGGAAAAATCTGAAGAAAAAATTGACTGTCACCACCAGGACTCGAACCAGGGACCCTCGCTTGTAGCCAGCGATGCTCTTACCACTGAGCTATGGTGTAGTCGTCATCCCAGCAGAGGCCGTTCAACATTTTCTTCAGACTTCGTAACTCACAATAATAATAATAGTATTAACCGGTTTGAGGGAAAGAGTTGGCTAACACCCTTTCTCTTTGTATTGGCCGGTGTTCTCACTGTGCTATGAGATGCTGTAAAAAATAAAATAAATAAATAAATAACAGGGAGAGAGTGTGGGTGTATGTTTGTGTAGTGGTGTGGGCATGTGTGGATTTGGCATTTGTCCCCAGCTCTATTCGATATCATTCAGACCAGGGAGTCGTAAAAGCCCGGGAGAGGACACGGGATGCGCGCACGGGGACGATGTTTGCCTCGGCCAGAAAGTGAAGCACGCTAGGCCGGCGCGGCCGGATCTGCTCGATCCACAGCGCTGTGCTCGTTTTCAGGGCAGGGAGGCCTAAAATACCAATATTTTACGACTCGTTGTTGACACCATTATCCGAAACTGGTGGCGAAGGAAGCATAAACATGATTTGTCAGACTCAGTACACATGGTACAGGGAGTGGGGAGTTGACAGTGTGTGTGTGTGGGGGGGGGGGGGGGGGGCGTGTGTATGTGCACATGTGCTTGTACTTTTGTGTGTGTTTGCACAGTGTTTGTGTGTGTGTGTGTGCGTGTGCGCGCGCGTGCGTGCGTGTGTGCGCATTTTTGTGCACAATTCCGTTATGAAAAACAAATGATAGGTTTACCTTTTGTACACTCGCCAAGACTTCGGTTAGATTCACTGAGAACCTTTCTGGCCAACCTGGAGGCTGAGCCTTCCGTTTCCTAACCGGCTAAAGTCACCGCGTACTCAGTATACGAGTAGAAAAGTGTTGTAGATAGATAGGGAACACACATTGATTGTTTTTAAAAGAATCCAGGCAATATCATAAATCATGGAACGAGTGCGTAATAATGCTCTATGTTGCGTTTTGACGATGCTGAAGGAAGGGAGCTGTTGCGATTCACTCACAACACACACACTCGACTGCAATTTCAGAGCAATTTCTGACACAAGTTCATAAATCCACGAGTACGAGGAAGCTCAGCGGATCTCCACAAGAACTTTCGCCCATCACCTGCAATGGAATATGGGCTGTATGATATGACCAGCGGCTAACATGGGAAGTGGCGTAATTTTCCACACATCTCGTTTCATTCACAACCATTTGACTGCAATTCAGTGCAATTTCTGCCACAAATTCAACTCCAAGAGTACGAGGAAGCTCAGCGGATCTCAACACGAACGTTCGCCCATCACCTGCAATGGAATATGGGCTGTATGATACGACCAGCGGCTAACACGGGAAGTGGCGTCTCTTTCCACAAATCTCGTTTCATTCACAGCCATTTGACTGCAATTCAGTGCAATTTCTGCCACAAATTCAACTCCACGAGTACGAGGAAGCTCAGCGGATCTCAACACGAACGTTCTCCCATCACCTGCAATGGAATATGGGCTGTATGATACGACCAGCGGCTAACACGGGAAGTGGCGTGATTTTCCACAAATCTCGTTTCATTCACAACCATTTGACTGCAATTCAGTGCAATTTCTGCCACAAATTCAACTCCACGAGTACGAGGAAGCTCAGCGGATCTCAACACGAACGTTCGCCCATCACCTGCAATGGAATATGGGCTGTATGATACGACCAGCGGCTAACACGGGAAGTGGCGTCATTTTCCACAAATCTCATTTCGTTCACCCCAACTCAAATAAAAGTGAAGTACAATTTAGGGATTTATCTTGCATTTCCATCGCCTCAGAATAAATTAACTTCGATAAACTGAGAGAGAATGAGTGAGGCAGCTGGAAGAATTGAGGATGAAAATAGAGATTAGAAGACTCGACGGAGAAATCGTCTCCGTGCTCTAAGAGAAATCGGAGAATGTCCCAATTAGTGTTTCAAGAAGACATAACAATTTTCGAAAATAATAATTTCCTTGCCTCGCTACACCGTTCCCTGGCGCAGCGTTCCCCGGCAGCGCGAGGCAAAGATGTTTTCTGGGAATGTGTGCCGTGTCCTCTCCCGGGCTTTTACGACTCCCTGATTCAGACCTACTGCTGCATAGCCCCAAGTCTGAAGACTTGGCCACTTCACGCCTGCACCTGACTCTTGCGCTATGATCCGCGTCGCCTATGACACCCCTCGGAATTTCCCACCTTGCTCCCCCTTATGTTCTGGCTGCCCGTTTTGGATCCATCAGTTGCCTGATGATCGTAGAGATACGTGAAACTCGGAGTTGTGACAAAGCTTCCAAACTCTCTCTTGTGTATGTCTATAATAATTATTATGAATATTGCAGCCTGAGTGATAATAATGGTGCTATTTCCTGAGTTTGACTGTTTCAGGATCTGTCGGTAGCCCTGTCCCAAAGGTGCTCGCCCTTTTTTCGCCCTTTTTGGAAAAGCCCGTTTCTTTCGCCCTTTATTGCGTTTTTGGTGAATATCGCCTTTTTGAGCGTTTTTAGCTGAAAAAGTGCTAAAATCTATTTGCTCATGCATGCGGTCACAATTTCCGAGTGCTCGATGCGGATGGGCCTTGGCTCGATGCGGATGGGCCTTGGCACGCCGCATTTTCGGGGGGGGGGGGGGGGCAACAAGTTTTATTCTTGTATTTCGCTCTGTCCATAGCGGCACATGCAGCTCTCTCCTAAAAGAAATTTTCCATACCCGCTCCTCCAGTGGCACACACTACTGCCATTACTAGGTCCCAAATCTCTTTTTCTCTGGCCTTGCCTTCTGCCCGCACTAAAGCTGGTTTTTCTCGTCTTGGCTAGGTTCTGATCGGTGGAACATGCTGCCTTCCACTGTTTGCTCGGTCATTCGCAACGCTGTCACCTCCAAACCAACTAGTCGCAAGCCCGCGCTGAGCACAACAGTACAAAACACTGTGTATTGAGCTGGGAGTGGTGCTTTCTTGCAGGTTTGCCGAGTCGAAGGTTCGATGGACTTCTCGTGTGCTCTGGATGGCTGGCAGTCGTGAGTCAGTCAAGTGTCAAGTAAAGTCGGCGGAATAGCGCGAGCTCCGGTGTGGGGAGCAAACCCTTTCTTACAAATCATCGCCGAAGTCGCAACGAACCACTACTTCGGACTGTAGACTGTACAGTTTGTAGTAGGTTCTCGCGTTGAAGCGCTAGCTTCCTGGAAATGCGATGCCAGGCTTTGTGCAAAAGCAGGCCACTACCTTTCTACATGCTTCCATGAGGCGCTTTGTGGAACGAACTAAGACGAGCAAGCACGTAGATCATGTAGATCTACATCATAGAGAGTACATGTAGGAGCGAGCACGTAGTCGTTGCTCTGCATTGGGGTGTCGTAGAAACCAAAAAGATTGAGAACCTGGCTCTCCACCTCACCTCCCCTTTTCGCATCTCCCTTGCCTCTCCCTTGTTTTTGTTGTCGTCGTACGTTTATTCCTTAGTCGCACCCCAACCGGCGTGTATGCTTCCTGAGAATTGTACGACTAGCAGTATAATATTCATTGTTATGAGGAAAAAGGAATGTAACGATTGTTGAGTAGCCGAGGATGCTATGGTGATACATTTACGGAAATTACGTCAAAGTACTGTAAGTCTGGCCTTACACTTTGAGCAAACCAGAGTACGTGGAAGACATAGCGATGGGTGAACCTGAAATCCACAGAAGTAAGTCAGTTGCTACTGGATGCAGGCTAGTCAAAGTGATGAACGAATAATGAATAAACATTTTAACTCTCTGCAGCACATGCTACTGTCTGTAAATCATATCTCTATCTATTCTTTCACTGCTCAGAAGTGCTAAAATAATTGGTGCAAAATGGAGAGTGAAAAAGAAGGCGCAGGTACCACAGTCAGGGGGGGGGGGGGGTGAGGTGCGAGCACAACAGACTAAATACCACCTGTAGTAGAATAGAGCTTGTCCCCAAATGTTTCCACATGAACAAGTAATTAGTTGCTGCTGCTACCTAAAAAAATGGGCTTCAGTATCATGACGTGATGCAGCACCTCCTAAGCTAGTGGCAATAGTAAGCCTGTTCTCACACTCCCTGGCTGTGTAGCCTGCGCCTCCTACATTACCATCCATTTTTACACAAATTGTATCACCTTTGAGCAACACCATGTCCAGTGGGCCAGCAAATGCATCCCCAAGCTAGCACCGACCCCCCCCCCCAGGTTCTCACCTACCTCTTCACGCTTACAGTGCGTTTTTTTATAATAGACTCTGAAAACCTTGAGAACGTACTCAAGGACACTTTTGAGAAAATGTCATGCGAGTTGCGTCACGAAAATCTGCGTGCGAAATTCGAAAAACCAGGTGCGACTCGTGGCATTTCGCCATCTTGTTCAGAGTGTCCTTCGAGCTCCTTGCCTCGTGGCCGGAGGAATCATTTTGTTGCTGACTGCACTGCTCTGTGGCCCTATTTTGCTTTTTCTCGAGTGTCTTTTCGTTCGTGGCAACTTGTTCTCTCGACATGCCACATAATTATAACAAAACGCGAACGGGCCATGGTACATGGTGGTGTCTGTTTTACAATTTTTTGCGAAGACGAGGAGAACAATGGCTGGGCATCGAATTGGTCCCAAGTATTCCATTCGTCATGCTGCTGTTGCGTGTGGCGTCAGCATTTCCACCATGAACAGATGTACCAGGGATGCTGACGGCGAAAATCAGCGTGCTGCGTTGGCCAGTGATGAAGGCAACGAGAGTGACAATCCCCGATGTGAGACTCGTGCCAAGAAACCACTCAACCCTGACGGATTTGCTTTGGACTGTATAAGAAGTAATTTACGGATTCTATGCTGCGAAGGAGGACCCAACACTGGACAAAGTTCCTGCTCGCTGCAGAGAAACCATCGACGATTTTCCAGACATGAGCAAAACTAGCTCTTGGGAAAATGTTGCGTTCCATGGGATTCCAGTGTGGCAAGACCAGAGGTATCACACAAATAATGATGGAACAGCACAGGATTGTGTCATGGCGGCATCGCTACCTGTGAGACATACCTGGATGAGACGTGGGTCAATGCGTATCACACAGGTACTAGGAGGTGGTACGACAATGGTGACAGGAGTGTATAGGCAAGCAACCAAATGAAGCACCATCAGGTAAAGGCAAGCGCGTTATTGTTCTGCATACGGGTGGACGGGACAGATTCGTGAAAAACTGCGCCGATGTGTTCGTGACTGGAGGCCGGCGCCAACGATGATATACGTCGTCGGCTGTCCGAGCACATCTGTTCACTGTGTAATACTGTCGTCACAAGTGCAACACAAAACACGGAATTATTGGGGCCGTTCGTTCCTCGCTGGTCTTCTACTATTCGCACATGTTGACCCAGACACAACTGTGACTTATTTGCATTGTGTGTGTGTGTGTTTGTGTGTTTGTAAAACTGCTCATGCTTCCTTTTTGTTAGTCTCTTTATGGGAGCTGTGTGAATTGCCTTTGTGATTTGTTGTGGTGTTTGAATTTTCACTGCATTCTTTCAGGGATCGAGGGAAGTTTCCTACATGCATGCTGGAATGTTTTGATTTATTGAGCTAATTGCAATTCAGGATTTGAATTATTCAGTACAGTTTGCCACAATAAGTCGTGAAAAGCCACGACTCACTGGTTTCCTACAAAGGTTAGGAGAACTGCAGACAGCAGTGCACAACTGCACAGCCATGTGCATGTACATGTACATGCATGCGCTGTACTACAGTATACCGAAAAAGAAAAAAAAGAATCACGATGAACTGTACTGGATTCGAACTCATGCCGGGCACCATGCAAGTGATGAGCTTTCCTGGCTAAAACTTCCGTTTTAAAAATCAAAATCCACTGAAAACCATTTAAAACCGGATTTCCAGCCGAAACCCGGCCGAATATCTAACTTTGACAATTATTATTATTCCGACTCCCAAACTTAATTTTCTTCGATCCAAGACCCACACAAACTAAGCTGTGAAGAAAAAATTTCAAATTTGGAATGAGAACAAACTAAAAAATCAAAATCGACAATGGTCTGTTATAAAAAAACGCACTGTAGTAACTTTGCGGCTTTGGCCTAGCGCCATACTGGACTATGTTAGTGTATAAAAGGGGGTAATGCAGGCATTCCCTGTATCATATTAGTCACCTTGTGATTGCCAGCTGGGCATGAAACTCCTAGTTGTGATGATGTCGTGTCATCCTTCATTGCAAGGACCTATGTGATTTTTGTGATACTGTAAAACGGGCAACTATTGCCACGTAAAAATGTTTGCGAATTTTGCGAGAGGCACCGAATCTCAAACTTTGAACGACACAAACTCGCGCCGTGTAAAGCTCAAAGAAGTATGTATTCAATATGTACGTATTCAATGTGTATTCAATCGCAAACATTAAACTGCGCAAACCATTCTCAATTTGTAAAACGCAAACATTTATTGTCGCAAACGTTACCCATTTTACAGTATTTTTGATAATAGTGATACGGTAAGTGTGATCCAAATACCCGCTAGTTGGCACCGTTTTATTATGTGCTCCAGCTCTCGATATGCATGGTGAATTTGTTCTGAAAATATCCTAATCCTGTTGTCAACCTCTCGCAAAAGATGTGCATGGTGAATGCGCTACTCGCTTCATATATTGTGGTGAATTATGTTCTTGGTTATCTCTCCGTTCCTTGTAGAGATCTCAGGAGTGGTCTGGCGGTTCACCAGCGCGGTCGCAAGCATCACCTTATTCCCGGGAGTAACCCCAGGAGCAGCCACAGCCAGCGCACCAGCAACGCCATCGGCAGCAACAGCCTTGGTGGACAAGCATGGACAACAGTCAAGCACCAGTGAGTTCTGTAGCAGTAAGTAACCACGGGTGTGTGTGTGATTTGAATCCTGCTTGTGGATCCTTCTTTTGCAAAAGTTTGAACAATCCAATGCTAGATCAAGGTTGTTTGGTGAACTGACAAGGACTCGTCTAGACTGTAGCTTGCGGAATTTCCCTGAACAGACATGACCCTTTAGTCTCTTTTCACCTTTTGTAGCAAGAAGGACCCACGGGTTCGGGGCATAGGAACATGTCCGGCAGGTCGGGCGGCAGCAGGACCAATGTTTCACCAAAAAATAAAATGCAGCAAGCTCTTTATCAGCCATGCGGAGGGTCGAGTCCTACTTATGCGGCACAACCCTCCAGGAAAGGCTCAATCATCTGATGTTCCTGAATATACACACGAATCTGCTGCACAGCTAGTGCCTGAAGAGCACCGCAGGCGAATTTTCACGTGGAAGTGAGCATCGGCTCTCTCATTTCGAGCTGTTTTAAGCGGAATTTCGTCAATTCAAATACTTCCTTCGGCATGTACTTCAGGAGTATGCTAGTATAACCTCAAGTCTTCCATGATATATGAAAAGGTGACGTCGAGACAATCATCTTAATAATGCAATGAATAAAACTATAATTATGCGCACTCACATCACAACCATAGCAACGAAAACGTTCCGGAACACTTTATTTGTTGCTATGGTTGTGATATGAGCGCGCATATAGTATTTTCAAGAGTACATAGCCCCCCCCAGGGGGTTTACATACTCTTGGTTTTATTCTTCCATGATGCCACTGTATTTGCTCATATCAATCCTTTTAAAATCACTCTCTTCACTCAGTAGAGACAGAGTCGAGCTAGCTGTATTCCCGGTGCCGAAAGGTAGGCTCACCACCCCTGTATCAGGGCCGGCGGAGCCGCTCCGGTCGGTCCGGCCATGGCCGGACCAACTTTTCGGCCACCGACGATTTTTTTAGGACGCAGTAACGTAAGTCGTTATGACTGTTGTGATCATCGATTGCATGTACGCGTACTTGCGATCTCGATCTGATCTTGCCGTGTACGTGTACGCTTGAGCCTTGTTGAGGGCTAGCACTATTAGTATTAGCTGTGGCCTAGCGCCTGGGTGTGGGCGGCGCCTGTAGCTGTGGCACGACCTGAAAGCACGTGCCTTGATATGATGGATTCTACATTGTACAAGTAATATTTATTTTGTAGTCTTGAGTTGAGGGTTTTTCGTCGAGTGCTTCAGATTCTTTTACTGAACGAAGTAGTTTTTCAAATTTTCTCGCTGTTTGGTCAGCTTGGCTGCAGTGCATGCTTAGCAGCTATGGCTTCTTCCAGCGAAATATCTGTGCCAGAAGTGCCAGTCCACCCAACCACTTCCTTTGCGTTTCCTCGGCGAGAATTTGGGAAAAAGACAGTGGTGAAGCGCTCTTGTAAGGCGTCACAATTATTTCAAGACATGGTCTTGGTTGACCTACGATCAAAGCAAAGAGAGGTTGTGTTGGGTCACACGTGCGCAAGTGCTGTGCTGGCGAAAAAATTTGGCCGGACCAATCAACAATTGCTTCCGCCGGGCCTGTGTATGGCACCTTCCCCATGTCTAAACCCCAAGACGAAGTGAATACTGCATAATAGTAGTCATACTGGCCAAAGTTAAAAATTATATATATCGCGCCTTGCGCGAGCTAAAAATTCGTCTACTTCAGTAGTCGCTGCACAAAGAGAGATGCATGGAGAGATGCATGGAGAGAGACAGACAGAGACAGACAGACAGAGAAGGAGGACGGGAGGATGGAGAGATGGAGACAGACAGATGGAGACAGACAGTCAGAGATGGAGGATGAAGAGATGAAGGATGGAGAGATGGAGAGATGGAGACAAACAGATGGAAACAGACAGACATAGATGGACAGACAGAGATGGAGAGATGGAGACAGATAGAGACAGACAGATAGAGACAGACAAATATTCTGAATCATTATAAATGTACTCGGATGGAGAGCCAAGGAATATTTATAAAAAGTAAAAAAGGACCAAGAAACTACAAGTTACACTATAATGTCCACTAGCACCACCAGTTACTAAACAATCAGCTCATGCGATAACATTGCACGACACTGACCGACGGTACTGACGTTCTACAACTAACTGGCTACCGGTAACAGCTCTAGCACATCTTGGATGCGCACTCCAACAGCCTTCCAACTTGGAAGGTTCTAAGTTATAGAAGTAACATAAGGAGGGGAAGGTGAGCGCAACCAAGATAAGCAAGAGCTGAAACTGAATAGAATGTACATGTACATGTACATCACATGGTGACAGCTCCCTTCCTTTACTTCTTTTGATAATGTTATTTTCCGTGTTTGGATTCACCCTCCCTTCCTTTACTTCTTTTGATAATGTTATTCTCCGTGGTTGGATTCACCCTCCCTTTCTTGTATTGCCTACGTATTAGTATGTGCCATGAAGTGGAGACGATCAATAAAAAAAAAAATCATATCCACATTATGTACCGGTAATAGAGAATGCTTACATGTATGCTGGTAGATCTACACGTACACGTAAATGTAGTCGTTATGTTCCTCCCCTATTAGTGCTATACTAATATCCAATTATCCAATAGTATAGCCGAACCATACAGACACCAGCAAGGACACTTCCGTCGAGAGATGATATTTTTTTCCGGCAGGGAGCGAAACAGCTGTCTAGAGGCGTGGAGAAAAATATTATCTCTCAATGGAAGTGTCCTTGCTTGTGTCTGTATGGTTCGGCTGAGAGCGCGTGGTTATGATGAGTTGGGAATGCAATAAATTGGAAATATGGCCGAAAGCTCGGTCGCAATATTCAATTGTAAAGTTTAAAGGTACATGTGAAGAAGAGGTTGGTGCGACTTCGGCGATAGTAGGGGGAAGAGTGTGTTGCTCCCTACATGGGAGCTCGCAAAAATTAAATTTACATGTTATAAGAAATTAAAATAAATTAAAAGCTATATGCCCCAATGAAACCTTGTGGTTTGTGATGTATGACGTCACGCTATGTGCCATCCGCCGGATCATTGGTAATCTGCTTCCTACGCCTCTGCACCCCTGTCTTTCCGGGACAGTGCCCTACCCAATAGGTGGTATGTGCATATTAACAGATCTTGCATTGATTCCGTCTCAGTTAGCGTTAAAGACCTTGGATGGATGTGCTGGTTGGATTGAGCAGCATCTGTAGATGTGTTCCAGTGGAGACTTTAGCTAGGCATGTTTGAGTGATTGGAATACTGGGCTACAGTAGCAGAACACTTGTGCAAGTGAAAATTATTTCCCTTTTCGGGTTTCTGAATCACTGTGCTCTTTTACGGTGTCATTGACAAAAGCTGGCAATGTATTCTGTATTTTCTTTGCGATATTCCTGATGATGTGCTCTCGTTGAAGCAGACAAACAAATCCACTGCAGACTTCCAATTCTCGTTGGCAGTGGCTGGGCAACTAAAGCAGCAGCAGCAACAACATCAGCAGCCGCAACAGCAGCAGCAGCCGCAACAACAGCAGCAGCCGCAACAACAGCAGCAGCCGCCACAACAGCAGCAGCCGCAACAGCAGCAGCAGCAGCCACAACAGCAGCAGCCGCAACAGCAGCAGCAGCCGCAACAACAGCAGCAGCCGCAACAACCTCCTCCACCGCCGGCAACGACTGGCAGCAGTCTACACCAGTCACAGTATGGTAACACGACAACGGCATCCTCCCTCAGTGGACCTAGTGGCGCAGCAGTAAACGCTGATACGAGCTCTCCGTACTATCGCCCTGGCAACAGACCTTTGGAGCATGGTTACGCATCTTACTCTGGATCTTTGGTGAAGGCACTGTCCGGACACCGGAGCATTGTGAGTAAACATGCACACACACACACACACATGACATGCATGCACGCATACACACACATATACACACACGTACATCGTGCTGTCTTAATGTCTGTTGTTCTCGTAGCCATGGCTGACAGTTCAATCCCATTTTAAGCTCGGAGTTGCACTGATGAGGCATCATTGGCCGAAACAGTCTGGCTTTCTGCATCATTTAGTATTTCGCTCCTCGATTTCGATCTTGTAGAGCACTCGCAATAGGACGCACTTGCACTGGTTAGCTTTATGCTTTGCGCGCTGCTTCTAGCAGTTTGAGCACTCTCAGCGCTAGTACATCAAGCTGTCCTAATGTCTGTGGTTCTCGTAGCCATGGCTGACAGTTCAATCCTATTTTAAGCTCGGAGTATCACTGATGAGGCCTCATTGGCCGAAACAGTCTGGCTGTCTGCATCATTGAGTATACACACATATATAGACCGTTGACAAATACCTCCACTCGTTAGTGACCACACCATCAACAGCATCGAATTCCAATAAATTTGCTTTGACTCAATAAATACCACTGCACATTTCCATGTTGGACTGCACTTTTCCCTAAAAAGGAGTATTTTATAAACAGTATTTATTGGCCAATATGGCATTTTTGTGATACATGTATGTCTGAGATAATAGTGATATGGTAAGTATGACCCAAATACCCGCTATTTGGCACCGTTTTAATGTGTGCTCCAGCTCTCTATGTGCATGGCGAATTTGTTCAGAAAATATCCTCATCATCCTGTTAATAACCTCTCGCAAAAGATGTGCATGGTGAATGCGCAACTCGCTTCATTTATTGTGTTGAATCCTGTTCTTGGTGATCTCTCCGTTCCTTGTAGAGACTTCCGGCGCGGTGTGGCGGTTCGCCACCGCCGTTGCAAGCACCACCTGAATCCTGGGAGCAACCCCAGGAGCAGCCAGAGCTAGCGCACCAGCAACGCCATCAGCAGCAACAGCAGCAATTGCCTTCCTGGACTAGCATGGACCCCAGTCAAGCACCAGTGAGTTTTTTTTAGCAAGATGCACCCACGGGTGTGTTTGTGTGATCTCTGGTAGCCTAATCGGTAGGGCACTGTCCCGGAAAGATAGGGGTTCTGGGTATGAATCCCGCTCGTAGATCCTTCTTTTGCAACAGTTTGAGCAATCCGATGCTGGAGCAAGGTTTTTTGTTGAACTGACAATGAAACATCTAGACTGTAGCTTAGGGAATTTCCCGGAACGTGTATGATCCTTATTTAAGTCCCTACCTAAACTCAAACACTTAAAATACGGTGTCTTTGCTGCGCCATGTTGAGTCCTGCTCAAGGCAGACCAACTCTTCGAAAGATGAGAATGAATCATCAGTAAAACGCAATGGTTTTTAAAGGGAAGCTGGCTGCAACGGCGGCTTGAAAGGTGACATGGGAATGTGTTATGCGCAAGGCGCCAGAGGTACAGCAGTGCAGGGCCTAGGGTGCGAACAGTAGCACTAGCAGCCTGAGTGCCAAGACCCATGCAGGGAAAGGTACTATAATATCACCACATGCCCCCTCGGCTTAAGTGCGACTTGGGAGCACTAACACAAAGAAAATCCTGAAACTGAAATTCGACAATCACAGCGTAGCGCACAAGCAACAAGGAATAAGCAAGAGAAGCATGCCCAGTCAATCTATGCACGTGGCCGGAGGAACCGTCTGTTCCGCCAGAAGCTGGACCCCGTCGCCGTCTGCACCGTGTAGCTCCGTGCTCTTTTCGTGCATTTTGTGACCGTTCCTTCCATATCCCAGCGTTTTGAAGACTGGTTCTGGATCCATACCTTATCGCCTACGTGCAGAGGGGGCAGAGGTTTGCCAAGCTGGGATGAGACCTGCTGGGGAGCGCTGCGGCTGTGGGCAGCGTACTGCTGCAGATTTGCAGGAAGTGTGGGAACCTTGGTCCTCGTTGGCCTTCCAAACAGCAGCTGGGCCGGGCTTGCTCCTCCTGCACCCGGCGTGTTACGCCACTCCAGCAACCCTTCTCTGAAGGCACTGCTGTTATAGGCGTCACCTTTGCCAATTTTCATTAACAAGTGCTTCATGGCCTTGACCGCCGCCTCAGCCGCGCCATTTGACTGAGGATTGTACGGGCTGCTGGGGTCGTGGCAAATGTTCCACTCTGAGCAGAACGAAGCGAAAGCTGAAGATCTGAATTGCGGCCCACCATCCGTCGTGAGGCGCGTAGGAACGCCAACGTCCGACATCCACTGAACGAGATGTTTGATGACGTTAGACGTGGTAGCCGACCTCCCACAGCGCCCAACAAATGGCCAGCCGGAAAACTTGTCGGTGAGAACCAGGTACTCAAAGCCGCCTAGGGAGAAGAGGTCAGCCGCTGCATCTTCGAACGGTCTGGACGGACGGCTGTCAGAGAGGAGCGGCTCAGAAGGCTGGGAGGGGAGCAGCGTGACGCAGGATCTGCAGGTCTGGACGACGTTCTTAACGTCATTGGAGATCTGGGGCCAGTACACTGCTTGCCGGGCCCTGCGGAGTGTGCAGGTCTGTCCCTGATGAGAAGCGTGAAGTTGCTCCAGCTTGGTCTGGTGTAACCTTCTGGGAACGACAATACGGTGGCCCAACAACACTATGCCGTCCTCGACCGACAGATCATGCCGAACCTGCCAGTACGGGTGCAGATCGAGGTCCAGAGCAGCCTTGTCCACCGGAAAGCCGTTCTTAACCGCGTTCAGCAGCTTGAGGTATTCCGGGTCCGTCGAGCCCTCCGCCCGCACCTTCGTAATGCCAAGGTCGGGGAGGACTGTATGGCCTGTTTCCTCGTCCTCTTGCGACAGCTGACGGAGAACACAGTAGCAGTGCTCGATTTCTTCCTCACCAGCTTCATCGTCAGGGTCTGGTGCACTTACTGGGTGTCTCGACAGGCAATCTGCGACCTTGTGATCGGCACCCGGTCTCCACTGAGCCACGAACCGAAAAGGCGTCAGCTTCTCCCGTAGTCGCACGATTCGTGGAGACGTCAACTCATCCAGCGTCTTAGCATTTAGGATAGGAATGAGCGGCTTGTGATCGACAAGCAGCTCGAAATCAGCACCGGCCAGGAACAGTCTAGCCTTGTGGACTGCCCAGACTACCGCCAGCAGTTCAATCTCCGTTGCAGAGTACCTGGCCTCGGTCTCAGTGACGTGCCGTGAAGCACATTGCACTAGACGCCACCGCCCGTCCACTTGCTGCTGCCACAGTGCCATGCCGAGACCGTTTGACTGCGAGGCGTCTGTCTCGAGACGAAGCGGCTGTGCAGGGTCGAAGGTAGCCAACACTCGAGGGCTTACGAGCTCCTCTAGTATAGCTGTAAATGCCTGCTGCTGCGGATCCTCCCAGATAAACTCATTCTTTGGAGAGAGCAGAGAGCGGATCGGGGATAGAAGCTCCGCTAGTCGCGGCGTGAACGCGTCGAACTGCTGCACGAGTCCACAGAAGGATCGGATATCAGTGCGGTTGGTAGGGATTGGAAAGTTGTGTAGATCCTCCACCAAGCTACGATCAGGACTGTAGCCGTCCGGCGTCACCACGAATCCGCAGTACGATGCTCTGGGTGCCGCAAAGGCGAATTTGCGGTGGTTCAGTGTGATTTGGTTCTCCGAGCAAAGCTTGAGCACATTGCGAACCCTCTGGGTGTGCGCCTCAAGCTCAGTGTCGTACACGATGACATCCTCTACCACTTTCTGAAGATTCGAAAACCCGGCGAACACTTCGTCTCCTCTCCGGTTGTGTTCGTCACCTGCCGACACCAAGCCCATGACGTTCCGCTTGACACGGTAGGCACCCCATGGCGTCATGAACGTTGTGAGCCTGGTGCTATCGTCGTCGAGGGGTACCTGCCAGTAGCCATGGCGAGAATCTAGGGTGGTGAAGTACTGCATCCCCATTCGGATCGACGCGACGACTTCCCGAGGTACTCGGGTTGGGTATGCCGGCCTCTTGACCCATTTATTTAGACCCGTCAGGTCCACCGTGATGCGCGGCTCACTGGAATTCTTCTTAGGGACCACCGCCAGTGGGTGTCACCAAGTGTATGCTTCGCCGACAGGCACCTTCTCAATGACGCCCTTGCCCACCATGTCGGACAGCTGGTTCTGCACAGCGTCCCGCCACCTGAATGGGATGGAGCGAGCGCGATACAGGCGGCATGGCGACGTGCCGTTGATGAGCTCGATGCGCATCGGCTCACCGCTCACGGGCTTGAGCGGGGTATCACAGAACACTTCTGGAAAGTCTTCCAGCAAGGTACGTCGGATTTCCTCAGCCGCCGTCGACGCAGTACCTACTGACGTGTCTGCGACTTCGGATGCTTGCTTCCGAAGGATGGAGATGTTTGCCACGCTTTGTGCCCTTAGACGGGAGTGAGGCCATCCATCCTCGAGAAGCCGCAACTTCATGCACGTGTCCTTGCTGAGCAGAGGTGTCTTCAGCTGCCGGAATACGTGCAGAGTCGACCCGGCAGTAGTGTCGCTCGAAAACAACTGAGCCTCGAGCTTGCCAATGGAAGACAAAGCTGTGCCGTTAGCTGCCTTGACATCAGCTGTGTCCGGCACTAGATTCATCCCGAGGCTTGGGTCGATACCATCCAGGTCGGTAAGACTGGTGGCGTCTACATCCGCGCCCGTGTCCGGCAGCCACCCGATAGCGCATGACGATCCTCCCTGGAGATGTTTGCCACGCTTTGTGCCCTTAGACGGGAGTGAGGCCATCCATCCTCGAGAAGCCGCAACTTCATGCACGTGTCCTTGCTGAGCAGAGGTGTCTTCAGCTGCCGGAATACGTGCAGAGTCGACACGGCAGTAGTGTCGCTCAAAGACAACTGAGCCTCGAACTTGCCCATGGAATCCAAAGCTGTGCCGTTAGCTGCCTTGACATCAGCTGTGTCCGGCACTAGATTCATCCTGAGGCTTGGGTCGATACCATCCAGGTCGGTAAGACGGATGGCATCTACATCCGCGCCCGTGTCCGGCAGCCACCCGATAGCGCATGACGATCCTCCCTGGATCGCGACGCCAACCGTCACCAGCTTGTTCCAAGAAGGACCAGCCTGGTTGACAAACAGCGAGTCGACAGACGTCGTTCCTGGTGAGGGCGAGGTCCGCTGTCGACAAACCCTAGCAAAGTGACCCACCTTGAGGCACAAGCGGCATGTCTGGTTACAGGCCTTGCATTGGCCCTTGGAGTGAGTCTCCCCACAAAACCTGCACTTGCCTACGGCCCTGCCTCTGGCTGTCTTGAGGTGGATGGTGGCGGGCCACTGCCGGCAGGCTGGCTTGACTGCGCCATTGTGAGCCTAAGCAGAATCTGCTGCTGCTGGCTGAGGGATCGGACGATAGACTGCAGCAGGCTTCCTTCTTCTTGAGTCCCTGGGTGCATCCGCTCTGTCAACCCGTCGTTGGTTGCTCCTGCTTCCTCAGCATTTGCCTTGACAGAGGTTCGTGTCTTTCGCTGCGCCATGTTGTGTCCTGCTCAAGGCAGACCAACTCTTCGAAAGATGAGAATGAATCATCAGTAAAACGCAATGGCGTTTAAAGGGAAGCTGGCTGCAAAGGCGGCTTGAAAGGTGACATGGGAATGTGTTATGCGCAAGGCGCCAGAGGTACAGCAGTGCAGGGCCTAGGGTGTGAACAGTAGAACTAGCAGCCTGAGTGCCAAGACCCATGCAGGGAAAGGTACTATAATATCACCACACAAACGTATCTCACAATATTCACCAAATTTTCGGGCATGACAGATCATCAGGTTGAACACAGTTTTGACTTCAGTTTAACTAGCCATGCTACTATTACTAAGGATGACTTTTCATTGCTTGAACTTTTAAGGGAGCATGTCTGAGAAAACCAGAACATTTGTGCAAGTCGATCTCTCAGGTTTCGCCCACTAAAAAATATTGCAGGTAGGTTTGCTTTGGGGTGTAGATCGACATTCCAAAGCCCGCGCAAAATCTTTTGAAGGAAACCATGAAATTGGCATACTGTACCTCTCAATAT